ATTATAAATTAAAGCTTCCCCGTCTTTGTACTTAATTGGAACGGAGACGGATATTGCTGTCTGATTTTAAATCAACTCATTATATCTTACGCCGGGGATCAAGTAATAGATTGGCAAAATTTTATACCCACATTTTAAAAATGATAAGCTGTTTATATAACACACAAGAAGTTCGTTATATCTCGACTGTTTTTTTACAGTATTTCTATTTTTATGCACATTTAAAAAACTTATAAATTATATTAGTAGAATATTATAACTTTATAATAAAATTTATTTCTCTATTGTTTCAGATCAAAACATCAATATGTCGGCACCTACAAGTGATAGTACTGAAGCCATCACCAACTCTGGCTACGGTAGCAGCGACGAAACTGCAAGTTTGTTGGTCGCAGCTCCAGCTGTGACAGTTATCGTGCCCACCGAGAATAGAACTGTGAAGCCGATCCTACAGCGGCAAGATTGCACAACTAACTTACGACCCCAATTGTCAGGTGGCCCAGGCAGCGAGGAGAGTGCAACGTCTGTCAGAATTGAAGATAACTCGACAAGAAGTGTTCCCGATATAGAATTACAATGTCGAGATCCGCCAGACCGGCCACAAACATTAATATCACCCGTGGCCACCGGCAGCCACAGATGCTCCGTTACCACATGCCAATTAGTTCCTCACGGATACACTAGATGTCGCGTTTGCGAACGCAGGCAGTCCACGGCGCCCGTGTCCGCTTTGCACCTAGCGCGATCTGTTTCAAGAGAAAGCGTTCGTTCAGCATTTCATTACAACTGCGGCTGTAGTTCCCTTCATGCTGTAAACACGTGCCCCGTCATACAACCGCCGGCGCTACTGTTGCCCACAACTAGTACTCGAATCATCCGCCAGAGTTCGCAGCCGGAGTCGAGCGCATGCGTGACCCACTGCCCTCATCACGCCCACCACCACCCCAGCGCCTCCTTGCGTCAACTGCGAGAACCGGGCGATGGAATAGCGGGCATTGCTGCCGATTCTCTGAGAATAAATGGCGGAATGCGACCCTTCAAACAGGTAAGGGTAGGCGATAGATGGCGCTGTTATTTTTTTATTCTCGTCGGTGTTAATTCAAAATTTAGTGAATTTCTTTTAATTGGCAGACGTATTGTTCCAAATTTTCGGTTGCTTAATCTGGTTCTTACTCGCTTGACTTTCAAGTAGATAAAACAGTATGAAAAACTTCTTTTTTAAAAACAAAATAGAAATAGTAATTTTCCTAATTTTATTAATCTCTATTTTACTAATATTCATTATACATAACAGAAATTTATTTCAATACATTAATTCCAATCAATTTTTACTATATTAAATATATATATATATAAAATTGTACATTTACATACTAAGTATATTTTATTTAGCTATTGCGATACTTATACATAGGCTTTTTATGTGTTCTTTGTATATATTTCAAATTCAGACTATCATTTATAGATTTCTTTTATGTTTCGAAACTTTTCAGTTAATACTAAAAGCTTTAGAGCCGGCGTGTATGTGCTGTGTAAAGAACAAAGCTATAAATCAAATCAAACATGATGGCTTCGATTTGATTCTTTTTAAACCAACAGGGTCTCCTCCTCTGCCCACAAACCTTGTCGCAGACTCGCCGAGCTCGTCTCAGACGCGCATTCACTGAAGCCACGGGAGATACTGTTAACTACGTTAGAACGGTTCGACAAATAGTAATTGCATATCGCACTCTACCACCATCGGCTGTACAATCAAATACTAAACATCAATATATTATATTAAGGGTCAATATACACAGACTATATCAAGCAATCGACAGCTTCAATAGCTCGGCAGTTAATATGAATATTTGGGGCAAGCGACAACATATCGTCATCGTCAAGCTATTGATGTTTGTGTAGCGTCCCCTATTGGGCGTAAAGTACACGAAAACGTCATACTATTATTGTAATAATTGACGATACTTATACGAAGATGCTTGTCGCAAATATTTGAAGGTTTACAGGTACCGCAAATGTTGTCTAGATTAGTTTGACAATTCTATTGACAATTCACTAGGTATGGGTTGAGTAACGTCGATTAAGAATGTTTTCCGATTTTCGATTGTTTTTCTCATAGAATTTGCAATCGAAAATTTCGTGAATATTGATTTTGAATTACAATATAAATAAAATTGTTTCTTTCTAGTCTTACTTTATCCTTTATAACGACATAAAGAAATAAGACATGAACTTTGACGAACAAAATATACTTTTTTTTTTTAAATTCAAAAAGTTATAAAATACCTAAATTATAGTACCTATTTGTTCGATTAATTTTCTTACAAGACCGATTCCCGATAGTTCGATACTATGACAAGCGTCTATTAATTACAACATTAATCCTCATACAAAATTAATTCGATATTTTATAGGCGTCAGTTGTCAAACTAATCTATCTTAAATAGACACTCTATACTACTCTGTAGATTGCTTGAACTGTCCGTGTAATACCCTAATGTTCTGAATCTTAAATAACCAAATCTTTTAAAATAAATTAATTAAAAATGTCTACATTGAAATTATTTACATTTTTTAGTATTTACATTGAAATTTGTATTATTAAATAAGATTGTATAGTCGATATTGAGCTTAGTTGGCGAATGTGGCGTCCCTGTAGCTTCGATAAACGGTCACGGTCTTCTCACACACTCAAATCCCATAGCACTTAGGTATTCACGGTCAATTCGAAAGGACATCATAAACATTTCTTCGCATTACTCACTTATATAATAAATTAGCTTTTTTTAAGTAATTGTGAATTTTAATAACTAGGATTTAGATCTGATTTTGCAGTATCATTACCCATTGGTTGATTTATAAAATCATTAATTGTTTTACGGTACACAGCACTTACACATCTCAGTTATTTAAGATGATGAGGCACTTACACAATAAGTAGTATGCACTATACTAATTATTACTTTATAGTATTCTGAATACTCTATTTATTTGATATTATTCTTGCAATTTATTTATGCTTTTTTTGTAATTTTTATACACAGTATTTAGTCTTACGAATGAATTATTTAAATATTATAACTATTATAAAGGAAAATGTTTACAATATATGACATTTTAATAGCCGTATATTTCTCTGAATAGCTCTTCATGACTATATTAATTTATTTTCTCTCCCTTGTTTTGTAGGTTTTAGTGGATATTTTTCTTTCCTTTAAGCTAAGAGTTTTGGTTAATTTGTATTGCGGAATTTAATATGAAAAGAAAAGCAGGAACATCAGTGGCTCAGGGGTTTAGCTATTGTAATCTGCCGGTCCTGGGTTCGAATTCCGGCATTTACCAATGTATTTTCGATTTACAAATGTAAATTTATCCGACTTCTTACAGTGATGGAAAACATCATGATAAAACTTGTATATATCAGTTGAAAAAAATATAATTGTGTAAGATTCCCGGGAAAAAACGCTCCGTCTTTTAAAGGTCGAAAAGTGGATTGCGGCGATTCGTTTGGCCACGCCAAATGGCGGTCCGTGGTCTCTGCCTATCTCTCTAGTCTTCAGACGTGAGATGCGTTTTAATATGTAAAATTATCTACAGCATAGTCAACAGCGGAAAAGTGATTCTACCGAATATCAAATGAAATAATCGTAAATTTGTGATAAAATTAACTGATACCAGACATGTTTAATGTATAATTTATATGACATATATAAAAATTTATGACATGGTACGCGTTATAGGTAAATTTAGTTCAAGGTATATGCTATAAAAATAAAATAAAACTGTATTACCCCAAAAAATATAGTACAACACTGTTTAGTTTTAACCCTTTGAACGCCGATGATGGATATTATGGACGTGAAAAATATGGTTTATTAGAAATATATATAAGAACGTCGGTGGCACGTATCCCGCCATGTACCAATGTAATTTTCGATTTCCGATTTACATATGTACATTTATCTGACGTTCTTATGATGAAGGAAAACATCGTAATGCAACCTTCTCATATCTGTGAAGAAATTCAAAGATATGTGTGAAGTCAAGCACTTGGCCAGCGTGGTTGACTGGCCTAATCACCCTTAACTTAGGGTAGGTTCCGAGCCCCCCAGTGGGGACGTATAGCGAGCTGATGATGATAAATATATATATATATCACTACCCTGCTTTCTGTGTAAGTATTTCATTATTTATTGGTCAAGAACTTATATCAAAAGCCTACGCATATTGTTTTCAATCAAATGTTAAAAATTCTCGCCGGGCGTAGTCAGGGTATGAAAAGGTTGACTTTTTTAAGCTAAAATATATTGGAAACATTGATAAATTTTTTAAAGTAACGCCTAAAATTCGATGCGATCAATTTTATCTGTCGAACACCTTACTGAATGTACAAGGACAAGGGTCATTTGACATTTTTTCTGTACTCCAAATTACACTATCGATTGCTCACAATGTGAGTTAACGTTATATTGTCGTATGATTGATTACGTTATGTTCCAGTTGACGTAAATATTTAACAGAGTACTCCGTTCACAGTTACCTTTAAGAAATATAATACCAACTAAATAAATATTAAATGGTATTGACTTTAGTTACTAATAAAGTTTGTTTTGTCCGACTTGAATACATTGCACCAGTTAACCTTCCCTTTAATGTTAGTACTGCTTAGTTGATATTTTTCGCAAATGTTAGTAGCCACTTAAATACAATTCACCCCTATTTAAAATACAGGTGAAACATTTTGCATTTTAAGTTGAAACAAAAACATTTATTTTACAACTGTGGTACCTCTGCTATTGCAGATGACCATGGGCGTCGATGAACATTCGGTGTTGCCGTTGCTCGTTTCCCTTCTCTTATAAAAAATGTAAAATTGAAATCTCTTATAATTGTCTTCTTCAACGTTCACAAGCAACATTTTTCACGAGTGATATTCGATTCGTTATTAGAATTTTAAATCTCCTTTGTAACTATTGAAATTCAACATTTAAAAAAGTTACGTAATTAGTAACAACTTTGATAGTGGGCTACTAGTTCGATTCAATGGTTGAAAGTTTGGTCCGCAATTGAATTTAGTCTACAATTTTCTTTATGTTATATTTTGTTAGTTTCATAATTGTTTGCGTAATTCTGTGGTAATTAAATAACGTTTTAAAAGGGTTTCATTAATTTAATTATGGTTATTCTTACAGTCTTAACGCTATTTTCCGCAGCAAATATTATTTGAACATTGTAATTACTGGAGCGTCTTATTTATCTATAACCCCTATCAAGTATATCCTAGATTTTAGTCATTGTTATATTACTTCTTACTAATATTATGAATTTGAATTTTTAGATGGACGGATGTTTTTTGAAGGTATCTCCAGAACGATTGAAAGTATCTCGACGAAATTTGGCATAGATGTACATAGTCTGGAAGATTTTTTAATTCCTCGCGGATGGATTCGCAGGCGACAGCTAGTAATCGTATAATTTTTTTTTATAACAGAAAATTCAAAATAATCCAAATGTAAAATTAAATTAAATTGAACACATAGGGGCAAAGTAAAAATGTTATCGTCTCTTAAATTGTAGGCAAAGTAGACGAGACTGAGCAGGCTTCTTGGGCTACTAGTGTTGTCATCATGCGGTGTTACCATTTGTATCACTGCATCGTCATCTATCTGTATATTATTAAATCATCGAAGATAGTAACGAAAACAAACGATATTGTCATCTAGACGGTTCCATCTGCCTTTCATTTGCATTTACAACTTGAACATAAACAAAATAAGCATTACCGTTGGCGCTAGGCGATGTTATTTTACGCGATGCAGTGAAGTTTGATCGACATATCTGCAGCCATTTGTTCGGAATTGGCTGGAATCCAGATCAATCCTGGAGATATATAGAATGCTTCGTAACATAATTCCTAGAATTATGCCAAGATCTACTTGAATTATAAACTCATTGAATATCTCACATTTTATTTTCAACTAGCTGTCGCCCGCAACTTCCCCCATGTGAAATTAAGATTTATTTTTTAATGAGTAGCCTATGTGATCTTCCAAAATATGTTCTACATCTATGCAAAATTTCATCAGGTCCGTTGCGTCGTTCCGGAGATACCATCTTCACAAACATTCATCCATCTAAACTTTCGCATTAATAATATTAGTCAGATTATTGAAAGAAAAATATAGTTAGCTTTTAGATGGTTAAAGCAGATGTGTATAACATCAAAATATAAGGCGCCGGTCGATAACCGTTTAAAGCATTCGACGTGATGTACTAAAATTTAATTTGACCACTTAAAACTTATCGTCCAAATCATTATCAGTCCACGCAGATAATAGCTTAATTACCTGGCTGGAGGGCAAAAGGGGATTACCCATGGATGCATATCGTGACCAACTGTATCCTTAAATATTTGACCTATTTTAATTATCGAGGTGTAATACCGACATTTTTACTTGAACCGTCATAGTAGTTCTTATAGCTGGGTTTTATAAATTAAGTATTGCTTTGTAATTTTTTAAAGACTTAATGAGACATAATTAACTAATTAGAAACGGCTGGAACATAGCAGAATTAGATATTCTTGACTACCGAACTGGCTTTTTTGTTAATTACTTTACTAAAAATTTACACAAAACAACCAATATTTGTCTGAATTTTTCTGAACCTACTAAATCTTTTCTTGCGTTATTTTAGTTCAAATATATTAAATAAAAACTCCTTTATTGGAGTACACTTAAATACAAAATAACTTATGACTTTATGAAAGGCTGCCTCAACTTTTTCAAATAACAATGTCCGATTCGGAGAAATGGATTTTCGAACGTCAATATCCCGTTCAATTTAAAGTCGAAGCTTTCCATAAACAAAATGAGTTAAACGAAGTAATAAGTTCAAGTTGTTTATTCTTAAAATATACATTTCGCAATAACAACTTTTTTTTTTAAAATATGAATAATATTTATATTATATCAATAACAAAACCAATTTTGGATTATAACTGTCGACGTACGAATATCTCTATGAAATAACAAGTTAAGTCTCCTTTGATCCGAAGTTTTTTTTTTAATATATATCAGAAGGCGGCAAACAAGCGAGCGGCCACCTGAAATAGCTGAAATAGCGAAGTGACCGTTGCCCATAGACAGACGCAATTGCATATGCGTTGCCTACTTTTAATCGACGGAGGAGAGGATGCACAGAAAGAAAATATTTTCCCTTTCCATGCATCCTCTAATCCGGAAAGTCCACCTCCACTTCCCATTTTTTCCTTATAAGAAAAGGGTGGGAGGGTAAACAGAACTAAATTAGGCCTCCGGGACGCACACTCATCAGACCAAACGCGGAATTTCTTCCACTTCACGCCTGTTTTTTGTGTGGTGATATTATAGTATTTCACCGGGCGAACCTGGCAAAAACGTGCGAAGATGTTAAAGCGGGTTCTGCCACTCTTAAAAGTGTGATTTTGATGCGATCACGATATGGAAAACTTAAAATGGAAATATTTTTGTTAGGTTATTTTGTTCATCGTCTCCCTGTCCTCTCACTTAACTGGGGTCGATGCACAAGATTTTAAAAAATCTTATTTTTTAGACTTAATTTTTACACCCGACCGTTACCATTTCGCCAACCCTACTTGGGTTATTGGCTCTTCAAGTACCCAAATATCTTTCTGTTATATGACAGAACTTTAATTCTTTCATACTATCAGGATACTCCTAAACTTTTATCTTTACTTCCTTGGATACGAACCAAATATTTGTATAGAAATATAATTTTGAATAATAATAAAAGTTAATACTCGAAACTGGAACTTACGTATTATAAATTTCATGTATTGTTTAAAATATAACGAGCATGTGGTAAACATTACCTATAAAACTAAATGTTTTGTAACAAAGTGTGAAAATACATGTCAGAGATGAAAATTAAATGGATCCTTAATATTACTGCTGGGGGGGTAAGGGGGGAACGGTACCAACATCTCAACCGACCCAATCGTCAACCTCACCTGCTCGCGTCTAACGACGGCGAAGACTTTGCTAGCCTTCGCGGTACCCCCTGCTAGACAACGAACGAGGCTCTGGCGACCGAGCAGTGGCGGGATAACCACAAGCCCAGCTGGGAAACCGGTTGGAGGAGGTTACAGCAAGCCTTGGGGAGTAAATTGCCCCAAAAAGTGCTGGTGCAGAAGGCAAGGGGAAACCACTGCAACTATTTCCCACGAAAGTCATCATGTACAACGAATCAAAGAAACAGTATTGCCCATGCGACCCGCAAAGGCGGCGCCATGCTGTGTCCGGGACGGATGGTGTGAAATGTGCTACCGGCCATGCGGGTGTAGGTAACCAGGCACCACATGGAAACGCTACTACTGGAACATCTATCAAGTTACGAATGACCCATAAAATAGGAACCTGGAATATTCGCGGGTTACTTCAACCAGGGAAACTTAAAATTTTAGAAAATGAGCTATCACGATGCAATATAAACATTTGTGGTATTAGTGAAACGCATTGGAAGGGTAATGGTCACTTTCACACCGAAACCAACACAGTGTACTTCTCTGGAAATGACGACAACAGCAGAAACGGTGTTGGTTTCGTGATTCTAAAAAGTATCTCCAAGTGTGTACTGGGGTATGAACCTGTAAGCGACAGAATAATAACCATAAAGCTCAAGTCATCACCAGTGAATATAAACATTGTACAGGTTTATGCCCCCACTAGCGCCGCTGCATGTGAGGACGTTGAAAAGTTCTATTCTGATCTGGAAACAATAACCTATAGGATGCCAAAAAGAGAACTTCTCCTAATCATGGGAGACTTTAACTCAAAAATAGGTTGTGAATCTCATATATTGAGCTCTTGTGTAGGCAAACACGGTCTGGGACAACGCAATGAGAGGGGAGAGCGTCTCATACAATTTGCCACAGAAAACGACCTGGTGATATCAAACACTTTCTTCCAAAACCACCCTCGAAGAATTTACACTTGGATCTCACCTGATGGCAATTACCGCAACCAGATCGATTACATAATGATTCGGTCACGATGGAGAACAACCATAAGAAATGCGCATACATTACCAGGGGCTGACTGTGGATCAGACCATCAGTTATTGATTGCAAAAATCCAGTTAAAGCTGAAGGCGTGTAGAAAACTATATAAACCAAAAAGACTCGAAGTAAAAGATATACCAAAATTTACAGAAACTATAGGACAAAATTGGCAGCAGTGGTTGACGACGGACTCAAGAACAGAATGTCCGGAAAAATTGTGGGAGCGCGCAAAAGACCTTTTCAGTTTTGCTATGAAACAAACAACAACACCTGTCACACACAAAAAACAGCCCTGGAT